TCTCCTTCCTACTTCACAAGGCCAAATTAACACCTCTCCTCAGCTCTGACGGGACCTCATTAGCAAACTTCCAGCAAAAGAAAAGAGGAGAGCGGAACGAAAAAAGAGGAAAAGAAGGAGGGAAGCGACCAATGACAGCCACCAGCTCTGGGATTAACCCTTTCTCCTCCTTCAGCTCGGCAGGAAAACTAGGTCGGCAACGTGTTTCTAATCAGCCGCCTGGTTAGTGATAATTACAAGGCGAGATTGAACGGGAGAAGAGAGAGAAAGTGGGTGGGGAACGCTGAAATGAAAAAAGAAAAGAAAGGGAACCTGTCATGTTGCAAACACTTCAAAGGAGCCGACTTCTCCTTTAGAAGCGGGACGATGAGGGTCCAGACACCAGCAGGCGCTCCTCTGGGCCTCCGAACCGAGGTTCGTGGGAGGGGCCGACTGGGGAAGCCAGGACCCAGTTTGTTCTCGCACGTTTGTTCCCACACACACAGGACCTCTGCATGGTTTGCCACCTGTACTGCACAGCTGCAGGGGAGCGGTGGCCTACTCCCAACCACACAACCTGTCCAACAGCAGAACCCCCCCGCAGCAGGTCGAGGTCCCACCGCTCGTGCTGAGGTCGTGTCGACTACTGCTGGGTAAAGTTCACAAGCCTCTGCAAGCTGTTTGACATTCCCGATAAGGTCAAAGTGGATCAGAAAGCACCGGAGGATTCCAGCACCATTAGGCAACACTAGGCAGACGCCATAAAACTCTGTTTACACGTATGGTTCATACAACTATTCCTTAGTTTTGCACATTAATTATGTTTTTGATAAAAATCATTTCGCTAAAATGTCATAATATCAAGTGTGTCTCTGCCCCCCCTTCAGTGTCCACCATATTGGATCAGTCCATTTGCTGCACATGTTCAGAAAGGTCCAAACAGACAGCAGCAAACCATTTGAAAACAAACCATGCAAAGAGCAGTGTTGCCAACTTAGCGCTTTAGTCGCTATATTTAGCGACTTTTCAGACCCCTCTAGCACTTTGATTTCAAAATAGCGCCTATCCCCAAATCCAGC